GAGGTCTTTCCAAGAATAATTGGCTTCCATGCAAGTTACGCATGAATGAAGGAAACGCCCATGCAGCTAGCAAATTCGCCGGAATTCTAACCCCCGACCGAACCACCAGTGTTCAGACTTTACCACTCAGCCGCTGGTGGCCCGGTATACATACCAAAAGTTACATAGGTAAAAAACCCGTGCGAACCCTCCTAATGCAGTTTCCTCTCTGGTGCAATGAAATAATCAAATTTACATTTTCCCTGAAATATGCATTTTTTCAATATTTGCAGCAATAATTACTTATACTAATAAATGATACTAATCGAAAACGATTCAATACTAAACACTAAAATAGTTCAGAACAGTACAAAAAGGGGAATCACACATTATTAAATAATAAAAAAATTCATTTAAACAAATATAAGCAAATTACAAATCACTAATTCAAAGGATTGAATAATTTTACACCAATTTCTTTATACTAGCAGTAATTTTAACCTAAAACGTTAAACATTAATTTCACAATAACGCCTTTATGTAAACTACTCAAAAACTCTCTTATTGTTCTCACACAGCCCGATAACATAATAAATATTTACATATTCACGCTATTTTTGCACTGTAATAATCAAATTTACATTTTCCCTGAAATATGCATTTTTCAATATTTGCAGCAATAATTACTTATACTTATAAATGATACTAATCGAAAACTATTCAATGCTAAACACTAAAATAGTTCAGCACAGTACAAAAATGGGAATCACACATTATTACATAATACAAAAATTCATTTAAACAAATATAAGCAAATTACAAATCACTATTTCAAAGGATTGAATAATTTTACACCAATTTCTTTATAATAGCAGTAATTTTAACCTAACACGTTAAACATTCATTTCACAATAACGCCTATATGTAAACTACTCAAAAACTCTCTTATTGTTCTCACACAGCCCGATAACATAATAAATATTTACATATTCACACTATTTTTGCACTGTAATAATCAAATTTACATTTTCTCTGAAATACGCAGTTTTGCAATATTTGCTCCAATAACTAGCCAAACTAATGGAAAATGATTCAGTACTAAATACTAAAGCAGTTCAACATAGTACAAAAATTAGAAATGATACATTACTAATTAATAGCTGAAACAAATATATACAAGTTACATATCACGAATGCAATGGATTCAATAATTAACATACCAATTTCCCTGAATTAACACTAATTTTAACCTAGCACTATTACATACTATTACATAGATTATTGCTATTACATAAAGACGTTACAGTGAAATTTCATTTCACTGTAACGTCTTTATGTAAGCTACTCAAGAACTGTACTATCGTCCTCACATAACCCGATAACATTATAAATATATACATATTCACACGCTCTTGGTCGGTATGGTATGGCAAAGCACCCGAAGGATATCTGCCCCAGCCAACTTGTTCGCCTGCAATTGAACCTAGCGTACAGCGGTCTTCAATTCGGTCAATAATAGGAGCAAATTTTTAAGATAAACTGGCTCGTATTCATGTTACATATGAGGAAAAATCACAAAAACTGTCATGCAGCCAAATCGTTCTCTTAAATTTGAAACTTTGGTCAAATTGTAGAGACATTAGGTATTTTTTGGAAGCAGGTAAGATGAAAAATGAGCAATCGCCTTCGCCGGGAATCGAACCACGGACCTCTGGAATACCGGCCCAGCGTGCAGAACCACTACACTGCGAAGACACGCTAGGAAAGTGGGAGAAATACCTTATGAAATTACCAAATGTTTAATGACTTTACCGCTTGATTGTTGGTGATCCCACAGTTCTTGAAATTAGGCTTATGAGATCCTGTGTGTTGAACAATATATTAAAGAAGATAGAAGGTACAATATTAGTAAACGCAAAATTATGCTGAATATAGATTTACATGTCTGGTAAATGAGTTATATTTATCTCTGTGCCATCATGAAAATTATATCACAAAAATATCAAGGAAGAAGAAAATGTAATCTAAATATTAGGAGCATTTGCTATTAATTCTAGTATGGCTGAAAATTTTATAAAAATTGTAAATGACCTATAGTAATCACGTTAACTTGTTGCATTATAAATAGCGAAAGTTAGAGATATTATTAGCATAACTCAGCGTCATTTCTCTAAAAAAAATTTTTATTGAAACCTACATTGAAAAATAACATGCATACTAACGATTAGTCAACATGAAGACGTTAAAAACATCTTCTGATAACTAGTGTTATGATGCAGAAGTTTCTAAAAATTATTATTTAAATATAAATTATCATTTAAATATAAATTGCATGAATACAATACAACAATGTACAAATTCTAATATATAGCATAAAGAAGTATATGACGCAAGTTTAAAAAGAAATAGGTGAACAAGAAATTAAAAATTTTAAGCGATGAATATAAGGAAGTTAGAAATTTGTTGTTTAATTATCAAAACGTTTCATCAATCAATCAAACAAATCACTATTTCAAAGGATTGAATAATTTTACACCAATTTCTTTATAATAGCAGTAATTTTAACCTAACACGTTAAACATTCATTTCACAATAACGCCTATATGTAAACTACTCAAAAATTATTAATTAAAAAAAACTCATAATTATTAATTAAATGTGTATTATAATTTGCACATTTAATTTTTAAATTAAATCTGGAGAATGTCAACATTCACATAGTCGCTTGGTGTATGTCCGAAATATTTTCCAAATACTCTTATTTCTGACTTACACCGGTCAATGTCGACATTCAACATGTACTAATTGTGAATGTTGAACATATAAGAATATTATATTTTCTTCTCTGTAATTCAGTCGCGAAAAAACGCACTTGAGACTTAAAATAAGAACTTAAGAACATAAGAACTTAAAACACACAGTACATTCAAAATGAGAAAGTAAAATAATAGAAGTTAAAAACTGACTTAATTATACAGTACGTTCTAAATCAGAAAATAAAAATAAAGTAATAAAACACTTACTAAATTATGTGATTCAAATCTTATTAATTGCAACAACTTAAACTATTATGACACTTTATGACCTTTCTTTTCGACCTACACCAGAGCATATCTGTGATTGTCGACATACACCGGTGAAGGCCCGAATGTATAAGAATGTAATGCAATATTCGATCTTTCACCGACGTATTTGGTGAATGTTGACATTCTCCGGTGAAAGTCGACATTGTCCAATTTCGGTCTTTCACAGTAACATATACATCAAATTTGACATATATATTTATAAAAGCTTTAACTACACTTAACAACATCTTTCCGCTTTAAATAAAGCCGATATATGTGGTATTACGTATATTAAAGAACATTAATTTATGTGTCTTCTGAATACTGGCATTGAACACATGTTGAAATATATGAATTTATTTTGCATCTTCATAACATACGCATGTTTTGAGACTTTGATGCTCAATATATTATGCATATATAATGAGTCTGTATTAGTTATTTGGTGTTTTTGGTAGAGACGTTTGTAAATTATTTATAAATACATACTTTAATTTCAAGTTAATATTTTTCAGGTGACGAGAATAATTCATCAGTAGCAATTCAGTTATTTTTCAGCACTGCTTTATCACAGAGACGACTGGAACTGAAGTCTGCTTTTACTCCCCCCCCCTCTTTCTTTCATAAGACTCATAAGTTAAAAAAAAATAATACTTAAAACTGAAGGTATTCATCAAACACTCGTATGAATGCACAAATCTCAAGTAATGCTAGCAACATCATACACTTATTAAAGAAAGTGTATGAAGGTTTCCAGCAAATGAGGTGCTCTACTTCTTTCCCAGACTTTTATAAGTCACAACTCCATTCAATTCGGTTTTAATTTTTTTTTCTGGTTTCGCTTTCCTTTGGGATATTTGGAAAGTCTGAACATCTATCACAATCGGAAACATATTTTAGATAATTAATTTTTGTGTTTAACAATTTTTATAAATTTTAGATAATTTCTAATTGTTTTATTCGAATTTACAGATTTTCAGAATTATCTTTTTGAAAATTCGGGCATCATTTGCAAAAATTAAAAAACAAACATACGGCTGTAATCGTTCTTATTGTACGCTAAAAAAGCTTCTTCTTCTTCTTCTTCTTCTTTTTTTTAAGGGGGCTATACAAACTAAAATTTCTTGATATTTTATAAAAAAAAAACTGAGTCATTTTGCATAAACATAATTTGAATAAATTTTAAAGATAAATATATTAGTTTTAATCAGCGTTTCATAATTAATGTTCATACAGTTCAGAAATGTTATAAATACAACGTAAAAAGCCAGTACACTGAATGAACGTATAGTAAACTGAACTGTACTAAATGAACGCTTAGTTGTAAACATTTAAATTACATTAACTAAATAAGATGTTTTACTGAAATGTTTATTGACAGAGGCAGTTTTCTTCTTTTCAGGAGTAAACTCTTACTGAAGTGAAATACATATTATTTTTGCTTCCTCATAATGCATTTCAGATTATTTTCTTTCATAGGCTCCATAGAGCATAGTTTAAAATTTATAAAGAAACATCTCTTATAATTAACACAATACTATTTTAGGACATACTAATCTTCTTTTTCTGAACTCATCTGCTTTCATTCCTATTTTGTCCGCCGAAACTTCATTATTCTCTCTTAATTTGAAATGTATATATATTGTTTATAGGAACTAAAGTGTTTCTTTACGTCATCGTATTTTTATCACCTTCTGAATAAGTTAAAAAAAATTATTCCCTATTCTGTTAGTTTGATCTGGCAGATCTTCTGTTTACTCTTTTGCCCGTACTCTAACTAACAAACTAACGGATTTCGCTCAGACTGTATATTATATTTTATTAGGTTTACTAATCTCTAAGTATCTAAGTATCTAATCTCTTTTCTAAATTTTTTTCTTTGCATTGCGAAGTTTTAATGTTTGAATTTCCGTGACAGATAGGTCCCTTTCTTTTCGGAAAGCATCGTAACAGCTGACAGCCATTTCTCTCCTCTTCCCGAATATCTCGATTCCTATTCTGGCATGATCGTCTCTGGACATTTTCTACTTATCTGTCATTAACGATTCGTATTAAGATTAGAAGGAAAAGTGAATGAATTTGTAGTGGTATTTACTTTTGCAGTCCGTGCGCATGGATAAAGTCCTCTCATCATGGATTTGAATATCGACTCTTTCCGTTCTTGCTCTAGCTCATCTAGGGAAGAACGCTAGGGGTGACCGCGTCCAGCCAATGAATGGCGTCGTATGACGTCACGTGACGCCATCATCTCCCCCGCCGCGACACGTCCGTGAAGCTGCAGTTTCCGTAGGGGGATCACAAGCTGCGTTTCAGAATAAAGCTATAGACCCACTCGGCGACACAACATCCAAGTGACTGACTCCTCAGGTACCGTTTTCCCTTTTTGTATTTACTAATTTTTTCCCTGTTTCTTTACTGAAGCGGCTCAGGCCGTCAGGGAAAAAAGCAGGGATGGTGATTTTATATCTTTCTCTAGCCGCTAGCGAGTAAAATATTTTCACTTCCGTGTATCTTTAAATCCTCTTGAATCCGGCGATTTTAATCTCGATGTATCGTACGGATCGTGATGGTTTGACCTTCACCTTTTATATACTGTTACCCTCAATCTAATGAACTAGAGAAGGCAATTAAAATAGTTTAGGACCATAAATCTTCAGATAAAAAGAGAATTTGCAATTTCTTTTTTTAAATCCGATAAAATATGAACGACGGAATTCCGAGAGCTGATAAGTACCTTTTCTTTCATTAATATGATTTTAAAATTAGTTAACCAAAGTAAAAATATTTGAAAAATTTTATTGTGTCGAACTGCTTATTTATGACATTTGATACTGATATTTAATTACAGTTTCAATTGTTTTTGTTTATGTGAAAAAATGTAATGAAAATAGCAGTTCGAGGGAGAAAGAATGCGTGAGAGAGTACGATGGGATGCTGTGTTTTCTTGGGAGTTTATCAATACATACGGAGAGCAACTCAAAGAAAACATTTTTATTTTTTCACGTAACGAATGAAACTTTAAACACAAAGTGATTTTTCACACAAATTGAATTAAATACATTTCTTATTTTACCCGCAATTTTTGTTACGAATTTATCTCTTATTCATTTACATGTAGGCTTTTTGTAAATTTATTCGTCAATATGCATCTGTTTTCTTTGCCGGCCTGTATGTGTGTATGTGCTTTTAGCGCATAAACGTGTTAAAGAATTAAAAACTGTAGTACTTCATAGTACGTTGGATGCTAAAAGTGATCACAAATTTTTACGAACAAAATAAGTCATTTAATTATTAATAAAATTGTGGCAGATAAATCAGCATGGCGCTTCTACTTGAGCGAAACTATATTCGTACTGAATATCTCCTTAAGTACATAGGTGATGAGAACTCACATAAAAGTTACAGAGCATAAGTGTTCGTGTGGCTATAATAAGATTCATATTTTAATAATTTACACTGTTTCAGGAAATAATGAAGTATATCTTGGTATAAATTTCAATTAACCTAACCCTTACTTTATAGATAATTTTCAAAAACAATGAACAGAAATTGATTTTGTTTTGAGATGTATTGAAAGTAGCAAACACTTAAGACGCGTTCTTGAAGTATAAATTTTCAATCGATCCGTAGAATATGTCTGAAATATAAAGCTAGATTACTCATGTATATAGAATAATAAAGAATAAATGCAGGCTACCAAAAAAATCACTATCGCTTCTACTTGTCATGACGTGACATGACTTGACATACAGCATTTGACTATATATATAGATATTCCCAGTCCTTCGTTTTTGATAATATGTGTTCCTATGTGCATAACTTTTCTGTAGTAACTGTGGTGTCTAATAAAAGAAGTAGCACTTCAAAAACTAGCATAATAAGTGTTATGGGTATTTAAACATCTATATTCTTAACCAAGCAACGTGGAAAATATTTTCATCCATAAGACATTTTTGAGTTTCAAAATAAATATAGGTTTCTTTAAATTAAGCAAAAAGAATTCTAGAATATCCTTCACAGGGTAAATCTTGCTCAGGGATATAAAAAATGATTCGAAGGAGTCATAGAAGATGTGATACTTTAGGATAAAACAATCTTTTTTACCCATAAATCGGATAGAAAACGATTCAGAAGTTTCAAAGCAACGATTTTCAAAAATGAAGAGTTAACGTCAAAAGCTATAAAGCGATTAGAATTTAAAGTAAGAATCTGCAAGTTATCTTAGAAGGCATTCAATTTATTCTCAAATTATGTAATGTGCTGTTTACACTTGAATAAAGTGAAATGTCTTTGGAGTTTTTTCAATAGAGTTATGGAAAGTAAAATCCACTCTAATCAGTTTGCCTGCTTTTATTTTTTCACGACATTAATTAAATCCAGCTGATCTTTAGAACTCTAATTTTTAACTTAGGTATTTATTTTTAGAATTTCGTAAATTCTGCTACTAATTTTTTTGCATACGCTCTTCGTGTCATATGTAAGTAATTACTAATAGCAAAACAATATCTTCAAACAAAAATTAATTCTATCATATGGCACTACATGCTTAAAAAAAATCTGGATGCGTATGTTTAGGATGTCGTATCTCAAGAAAGATCAAGAAATCTCTGGAACGTGCCAAATCTAGACAAACATGATTTTAGTTGCATTCCATTTTGCATGGAGAATAAAGATTATTAATCCCGTTTCATTTCTTTCATGTTATTTATTCATTTCTGTTCTCACCGTTAAATACATGATAAAACTGATACTTTGTTAAGTTTATTTGTAAGCAAATTTATAGATATTTCTAAGAAGATGTGTCACTGAAAAATGAAAAAAAATTTCGAATATATTTTGTTCATAATCAGTCTCAGATTCCAGTCATTCTGTTTATTACCAATCTCAGATTTCAGTCTGTCTTTTATTACCAGTCTCAGATTTCTAGTCATAATAAAAATCTGTTCAAGCATTTAGGATGAACTAATTTTATAATAAAATATTTTTAACGCAGAAAAGCTAGAAAACCTGTCGAGTGATTGAAACTATCTCAGTTCCTTGTAGTGGTTTGCCAATAAAGCAAGTAACTGTCATTTTTCAGATTAAAATACAAAAGCGAAAACTTTCGAAATAGTAATTGTATTAATTGTTAAGCAGTGTGATATATTTTAGGTAGACTTTAAATTTATTTTTCGAACATACTTGAAACATGGTTTCTTAATAAGAAAAAACTTTTAAAATCAGCTAACGTTTAAAATAAAAAGATGCAATTAGTTTAATCACAATATTGCTCGAAACATAGAAGATTTCAGAAGACCACATACTGGTAAGGGTTTTCTAACGAAATACAAAAAATATCAAACACAGATGCAAACATACAGTTAACGCTAATACGATTTTACCTTCGTTAACTTTTCTTAACTAACTACCTTTCTTTTTAACTAAATAGCAAAAAATGTATTGTCTTTTCCTATATTGTAACGGTTATCTCCGCGTGGGAATGTTGAAACTATAAATAACGACTAGCAATAATACTGGCAACGAGCAGCAGAAGTTGAAATTAATTTGATTAGTTTACTTAAAATGACGCTATCGCTACGAATTGCTTTTATTTACCAGTTTATATATATATACATATATATGTATATTTATATCAGTAGAACATTATCTGTTGGTATTTAGTACCAGAGCATTTGGTGTAATAGATGCTTTAGTAGAGAAGACCATGACAGTTAATTTATCATATTAAATGCAAATAAAAGATAAGTTAGGTAAACTTAAGTGATTGATAAAAGCTTTTTTAAGATATATAATTGTTAAGGAAAAGTGCAATAAAGTTTAAAGCCATAAATCAAAAATATGTTGGTTATTAAAGGAATCCGTGACATGTATTGCAATTATTGGAATTGCGGAAGTAGATTATAAAATAACTACGCATTTTTTTTCAGGTGCAGCCCATACTTAAGCTGTTAAATAAATTAAAAGAAAAATGGGATGAAATATAGCGGTAAAAGCTTGTAATGGCGTCATAGAAAATTTTTTATAATTTTGAAAACATTTTTCTGACGTGTTTATTACCGTAATGTCGTCGCAGTTTTATAAGTTAGTTTGTCCATCATAATTTGTAATCTAAATCCTAATGATAATAACATGCAATAATAGAAAGGAAACATATTTTATGGTGGCAGTTGATGTAAATTAAGGTAGTAGTAGAAGCAGGTGCAGAGCGTTTTTAGAAGCTACCATGTACTGAGACTGATGACTGGAAAATAAATTTTGTTATTTTAGAGCGTATTTTCTTTGGTCAGAATGCAATGCAACGTAGACTAATATTACTTAAAAGTTTTCAAACAATTCTACTTTTCTGCCTTAATAGTCCAAACTAATTTTTAGGTTTCGTTTATTTGATCAAGCATTCGAGGTCTATACGCCTAAGAGGACTTATATACGCCTATATGGAGGTTTTTATAAGGAAAACTGGCTTTTATAAAATTACACATGAGGAAAGCCACGAAAACGCCTATTCACTTGGATTCAAACCCCGGAGTGAACTACCAGTGTTCAACGACGATACCGCTCGGCCTCTGGCAGGCAGCAACTAATTTTCAGAATTCAGTACTTGGTATAATGCTTAATACGCATATTAGAGCATGCTGTTCTGTCAGCAAACACAACTTATCATCTATTTTTATCGGTCTGAAATGTATTTTTAACAAAATAAGTCAAAACAGTTTGTGGCGGTTGCGTGTGCAGAACATAGAGTATTTAATTTTGATTATCATTTAGTTAATATGAAACAGAGTTTGACATGTATAGTTGAATATATAGTTAATTTAACAGATAGTTTTATAATACAGATTAGTTCACAGTTTTAATAATTATTCGGCGTAAGGTGGTTGCCTGAAGTATATAAGTGTATAATCATATCTTAAAAAAAGAGAAACTTAAGTTTTTTGAAATCAGTGCATTTTACGATAATAACAATACTGGTACATATTACACTATCAGTACAACTAATTATTGAAAAGTAAATCGTTGTGAGAAGTATAAAAGGTTAATTACTTGACACCAAAGATAAATAAGGTGTCATCATTGTGAAGAGTATAAAAGGTTAATTACTTGACACTAAGATAAATAAGGGAAGCACTGAAAGCCAAATATACCTATAATGCCTCCAATTATTATAATATACGAAATAATTTAGAATATGATAAAAGAATTAGTAATTACGATGTGTAGTTTGTGGTAATGAAGTCTAAATATTTAACTACAGATTTTCAGATATTACAGATGAACTATTTATGAAATACAGGTTTTCAGTTACAGCATCTATTATAGATAGCAAACTATATGAAAACACCAGGAAAAATGTTTAGCGTGCAGCTTCT